GGGAGGGGGCAATGAAATCGGGAGTCTCCCGCGAAAATCGGGAGGGTTGGCAAGGATATGTGTAATGTTCCTCTCGGGCTGCATTTACAAATAAAATAGAGAAAATAAATAAAATAGCTTTTGAAAATATGTGCATCTTAACAACATTTTAGATAAATAAAATAAAGTGTAGCAGCAGCTTGAGTTTCCCTTTTTCTTTGTTAACCGTTTCACATCATGACTTAACAGTTTCAGACAATTATAGAACAATATCAGTCTTTACACATCATAACAATTGAACAGTTTTAAAGTTTCTCTTTCTTTCCCTCTTATATTGCAGTCCCTCACTCATTTTTATTCAGTGCGAGAATTGAGCTGGTACTTGTCCTGCCAGGAGTTTAAATCTGGGCTGAAATGGAGTCAGGGCCATTCTCATACACACATGCAGGTGCTCATTGGTTAGCCTCGGTTAGCCTGCCCTGGAAAGATATTTAGTTTTTGTGTCCTCAGTTCTGACTTGAGAGGGAATGTTTGGTCAAACACTTGGTGTTTTGTCTCATAGTGGCGTTTTGGCACTTTTAATGAGCGCCACGATCTCTGAACAAATGAGACACACTGGTTCTGTGCTCCCAGTGGGCAGGATGAACATGAATGAGTCTGTCCACTCAGGGTTAAAAGCTGTGTTTTCACTGTCCACTTTCCTTCTTGGAGAGCGCCATGTGTAATTATTTGTCTCTCCCTGTCTGCCGCTAACACGCCTGTTCACTCTCCTCTCCGTCTTCTCTCCCTGTATCGCTCACTCCTCTCTTTCGCCCCCTGTCGGCAGCGATTAAAATAGAATCGCCCGTCAAAATTGAATTCCCTTATTAATGTATTGATTATAGGTCCGGGTCCGTATAGGTCGGCGTCTGGGTCCGGATCCGGACCGCGGTCCGCCTGTTGCCAACCCCTGCTGTAGGCCTACTATACTTTACAGTGGCAGAGTGATGACGTATTTTTGTATGCCAACTCAGAAGTTAGCATCACAAGTGTTCCCTCAACAAAACGTGTTTCTATTGGATTTTGCAATATTGCAGATATTAAGATGGGACCAACACATATTTATGATACTTACAGGTATTGTTCAGCAGGATAATCTCCATATAATAACTCCACTTGTATAATAGTTTCAAGGTTCAAGGTTCAAGGGCTTTTTTATCATATCAGTAGATACAGTGTCGCTATGGCAATGAAAATCTAAGGTCCCGAGCTCCTCCAACAAAGCAACATATTATATATACGAAAAACAAAATTGTGCAAATGAAACAGTATGCAACATTTGAATAAAATAGTGCAGGTTATGTTGCTAGACCAGTCTACAAGTAGTCCTGATGAAGTTGGCTATATACATGTCTGAAAAGAAAGAAATACAAAAAGCTAAATGATGCAGAGAATGTTGGAAGTTACCAAGTTGAAGTGTAAATGCGACCGCCAGATAGGCTTTAACTAAATACAAAACGGTCCCATGATTTCAAGTCACCAGCGCTAAGCAAAAGGTGGCTAATGTTCGGCATGATCATGTTTAGTAGTCTCATTTAATCACTTGTTAGCAACTGCTGTTTTTAATATTTATAAAAGCTTCAGGCATTTACCAGTTGTTGTTTGACGTATTTTCTGTTGTAGAACAGAAACGTTAACATTTCGTAAGCTAGTATTACCACAGACCCTATTTCAGGTATCTAACCTCAAACACGTTTAAAAAAGTAGACTTTGCTGACTCATTTCTGGTACTTTGTTCAAACCAGGAAGGTTTTAGTCTCATCTTAATCTCCTACTGCAGCTTCAGCTGTTATGAGCCGAGTCATAATGTGGTCGGGTAGCAGCACCAACAGAACTGGGATGAAGACCTACAGCCTGAACAAAATTAAAATCAAATAATAATAGTATTTTATAAAAATGACTGTATAAATGTAACAATACATGTAATAATTGTCTCTTAAAATCGATTCAAGATAGAGTATGTTGCATTAAAGGTAGTTGATCAAATAAAATGTACTCAAAATAAGGACTTATGTACATGTGACAGAGAAGATGTGACCTTAGTGGCCGAATAGTGATCAAGGCAGCTGTAAACTTTGTCTTTACATGAGCATAATTCTCCCTCCAATGCTAACACTTTTTATTTTATTTACCTGTTTGCATTTATTGTTACAACTTGTAACCTTTGTATAAGTTAAAGGATAATTCAGCTTTATTATATGAGGAATGGATTGATCGGTGTGAATAATATTATACTAACTTAATTCATTTTTGAATGTTATTTTATTCAGAGGCAGAGAAGGTAGTTGTGACCTCCTCAAGCCTGCAAGTATATCTATCTAAATGTGTGTAGGTGTGTATATGTATCCGTGCCACATCACAGCATGGGCTGAACAAGCTTATATTCAATTAATTCCTGGGCGGTCGCTAATGTTTTGGCCGAGTGCTGTTTAATGGCGGGGGTTTTATTACGAGGGCAGCGCAGCAGAACCCACTTCCTTCTACACGGAGAGGTAAAGAGCGCTCATAAATAGCTGCTGTGTTTTGGGTCAAACCACACTTTACATTTGCTCCTCTATCTTTGTCTTTCCCTCTCTTATCTCTTTACTTTATGAGTAGACTACACACTGCAAAATCATATATCTTTTTTATCCTCACATGTCTATGGGGTCTGCATTTCTTTTTGCATCTTTGAGCTTTAGAAAACAAAAAAATAGATGATATTTCACCTAATTTACTATATGTATATAATAGTCTCTATAGCCACACCCTAAATATACTAAATAATCAATCCTCACTTTATCTGAATATCCAACATCTTTCCTTTTCATGAAATGCAGATAGCAGCAGCAATATTTTTACCTAGAATGTATGCATATTATACACAGTGGCTTCATATACAATTCAAACATAGCCTAGTTTGGTTCAGTCACTGCCTGCATGCTTTCTAGGATTGAATCATGCTGTTCTCTGCTGCATTCCAGTCTCACATCTAGCCTGTGTCGTGTCCACTCACATTTATAAAGTGTAGACAATCCTCAATTATATTTTCAGGAGGGTTAACTACAATCCTTAATTACGTCCTCAGATGACGTTAACACTCATCTGAAAAGGTATTGCACCCTATGGATCTTTCTGTTGGTATTGGATGCTCCTTTTTAAAGACTTCTACATCGGAGTTAGTTGTGGCTTAGGGGCAAAGGGCGTAGAAAATCATTGAGTCAGCAGTTTGATCCCCTTGGGTAAAATTCTTAAAGAGGCCCTCTTGTGGTTTTGGCAGTTTTCCCTTTGCTGTCTTGTTTTATAATATATATAGACTGTATATAATGCGTATATACTGTATAAGGACTTCACTATGTAAAAGTCAAGTCTCTATTGGCAATCACTCAAACACATTGTACGATAGGCTAAGGGGCGGGACATCTCTAAGCAGTTGACCAATCACAACAGAGCTAACCAATCAGAGCAGACTGGGCTCTGGTTTCAGAGGAGACATGTCCCAAATGAACCATAGTAATGTAAAGAATCAACATGTGGCCATACTAGTACCCTTTTCTGTGTGATTGTGTATGTGATATTCCTGGAAGTGCTGCCTAGAAACAGCAGCTTGTCTGAAAGCTTTATGAGAAGGATGATGCTTTACTCCACATGTAGGCTGCTAGACTCTTTATTATTTATTGACTATATTTTATGTCAAATAAATATCTCTAATCATATATGCAATATATCTCATGTATAGGCCTGTATACCTGAATGGATTTTATATTTACTGCATGCAAAATGATAACACGTTGAACTTTAAATAGACAAAGTCGGATAGGAAAAAAATATAAATAATTATTGTTTTTGCTTGAATCCATAATGAATCGCCTTCGTTTAGCCATGCTGACTGGACAATAAGTGATAACTCACAAGAAGATAATGAATGCATAACTTTCAATATGCAATCGAATGTGAACGGCTCATATAACGTCTAACAATGATTAAATATAAATGTGGGAAAGTTTTATAACCTTTGTACTGTTTGGTTCAGCAATGTAAAAGAACAGCCTTAAAACTTTTTTCCAACATCCCTCCATCCCCCAATCCTTACATACAATCATGTATAACTTTCCTTACTTTATGTTCCACACTAGGAACAATATGCATTTCTTTTTTCGGTATTGGTTACATGCATAGTAGAGTATTCTCCATTTCAATTTTGCAGGCTGCACATTTTTCGGTATGATCTTCCCTCCACACTGCATCTGTATAGAGTGCTGCTGAAGTTATATATGCAGCAGCACTATCAATTCCATTTGTGGTATGGGATGAAAGAAACAGGTATGGCTCTGTTTCTTTCATCCCTCCTTCCTCCACTCCCTCCAATCCTGTGATGGCATGCTAAATGAGTGTTTGCACTGTATTTCTCACTGACACTGCACTTTGCATCCTATAACCGTGCTAATAATTGGCCCTAAGCTGGGGATCGAAACAGAGTAAATGGCTGGATGTTGAGCCCAGAGGCCCGGGGACAGAGAGTGAAGGAAGTGAAGATGAAGTCCTCTGTGAGTGTTTAAAGCAGCAAACACTTTGCGACGGCGTTTTTCTCTTTTGCATGTTTCATTCTATTGGACTTGTTTGGTGGAAGGGTTCACAGGAAGTGGTGCTTTTTTGGCCAAATGTCAGATCATTTGTGATTCAAGCAGCCCGGTGCTTCCCTGAGCTGAGGAAACACTGCTGAAACTGTTTTTGTAGGCGATATACTGTAATAGAGATGTTCTGTGAGAAGGAGTCTGTGAAAGACCTATCTTCTTTGGAAAGGCACATTTGTATTTTGGGTAATATTCTTTAAAAAAAGCCACTTCTGTAACGGTTTTATTTCCATTGTGTTAACAGATCATAGTTATTACACTAAGAACTACTTCCTCCATCTTGCCAAATATGTCCATATACTTAAGATGGAGAATATCAATAAATAGTAATATATTGCGCTCGGTATCACATCAAACTTTCATTGTTACTACCCTTTCAGTAAATGTTTTAATCAAAAACAGAAACATGTTTTTTTTTAAGTTGTTCGCTACTCTTGCCTGTACCTAATGCACCATATGACACGGTAAAGCTGTGCTTTTAACATTTTCTTGCCATGAAAATTGTCACATGCAGCAAAAAATGATATTCCATTTTTTCCATTATAAAAGAAATATAGCGGAAACCAACTGCGCTACAAAACAAAAGCAAATTGAAGGTTGAAATCCACGGAATCAATATGATTAATCATATGATTAGAAATAGGATGCAACAACAAATATAACACCAATGGCTGGACTCTGAACCTTCATTTAAATGCCATATTAATTATTCTGAGTATATCATTGGTGTCTTTTTAATAAATGACTGATCAAGAAACTTTATCTTACTTATAATTTACTGTCAGAATAAAGCTTCCATTACAATTTTACCAAACGATAAAGCTAATTTTGTATATCAGAGTGCGTCCAAACTCAGTTGTTTACCTCTAAATATAGTTTATAACAAACTGTGCAAATGCATTCTCGACTGTATTTTCATATCTCATCACTCCACATAAATAAAGACTCTACATTTGCCCTCTCACATTATTAGAAGACCGCAATATGCAATCTGCAATTTATTTAAAAATATAAACGATCCAATTACCCTCCCTATTTAATAAAGCATATGGTACAATCTTCCTCTAATTATGAATCGCTGAGAAAGCTTTTATTTTAATCCCCCTCTGATTAGAATAATTATACCTGTAAATGTTGGATCATTTTTACAATTGTTTAAACTTGCCATGTCCTCTAATTAAAGGATCAGTTGTACATGTTCATAAAAAACCTCAATTTAATGTTTTATAACTTTATTACTTAATGCATTTACTCACATTTATCATTTTTATTAAATGAATAAATTATACATTTTCTTGCACTGCTTGGAGTATGATTTCCTGATTCTGTTATCTATTCCAATTCTTGATATTATTTGATTTGTTTGTCTATGTGTTTATTTTTCTCCTATTTGTAATTATATAATATAATAACTGTGCTAATCATTGATGGCCTACTTAAATAAAATGATACATCTCAAGAGGATATTCCTATTTTTGTAATTCTAACTCTCATAATAAAGTAGACTGTAAAAATAACCCCAGTATTTCTAATAACAAATATGTTTTGTGGTTCAGTGACGTACATTAGCGAAACCCAATTGTGGCTGTTTGACAATAATTTACAACTAGAATTTTGATTACAGCATGGTTTTTATTGTTAAAAAACACAGTGCTGCATTTATTACGGTGAAATGACTTTAGCACAGTGTTACAGCAGCGCTACAGTGAGAGCGCATTTCTGCTCAGTCATCACTACTAGGTTATGCAGAGGCCAACGAAGCAGCGGGAGGAAGCCTTCATTAATTTATCTCTCTGTTCTGTATTTAACTACGCTACATGTGCTGAGGAGGCACGCGCCCAACACAAAGGTTCGGCACAATCATTAAAGGTGCACCGGCACACCAAGGCTAATCATTTGACCTTTGCTTTTCTTGTTCTGGGCTCTGGAAGAGGAGCAGCACTATCTGCAGAGGATAAGTCCATTTGTTATATTGCATGATTTATGATGGGCCTGTTAATGTGGAGAATGCTAAAACAGTCCAAATGAGACAGCGCGGAACAAATAGCTCCAGAGTCCAACATTAGCTGGAGGACGATACTTTGTTGAACCCTGGCAACAGTGATCTTTGAATTTGAATAAGCTGCTTTTCCTCCAAAAACACCTAGCAGAACTTTTATGGCGGGTTTGGGTTGGAACCTCTTCGTCAGCAGACTTTAAGATGCGCATCAAAAACCCTGTAGCATAATGCTTTTATTATCTTTATTTATTATCTTTTTAACTATAGTGCTGTCAACCTGGATACTGGTTAGATGGAGATTTTGAATGGATCTGTATTAAGATAGAAGTGGACTGAAAGTTGGATGTAGCCAATAGAGTAATTGGTAGCCATTAGATTTACATTTCTTGTCCGAAAGGTGCCTATAGGGGGCTTTGGAGAGCCTCCTTCCTGCTCCTTTTTGATTTCTTTGACAAATCAAATCTTGCCAATGTATCCCGGCTGTTGAATGACGAACTAGCTTTGCCCCCTTGGATTTGATCATCTGTTTTTACAGCTAAATAGTGGTTTGACTTTGTTTTTTCATCATCAACACAAACCAGAAGACACTTTGTTTGAATACGTTTCACTGCTCAGTCTGACAGCCGTGGAGATAAGAGGACGATCAGTGTAAAACAAATCACATACAACACTCACCAACAGCAACATCCAGGGACCATCCGTTCAATCTGCTTCCATGCTGCTTTTCGGCCTTTGTAATGTTTATGTCTAAAAGACATGGTCAAAAACTGCCTCCTCTTCGAAAATGCTGTAGCTCAAGATCCGAGGCATCATTGCTGGAGTTGTTTGTCTCTGACAGGTTACCGGTGTTAAAGGTGAAAGGGTCCCTATTCTGCACATTTTTAGGTTCATATTTGTATGTAGTGTCTCTTCTCTGACATGTCTCCATGCTTTAATGTTCAAAAAGCTCTTTATTTTTCTCATACTGCCTGTGCAGCAAGCACCTCTTTTCACCCTCTGTCTGAAACCAGAGCCCACTCTGCTTTGATTGGTTAGCTGGCCGGCTCTGTTGTGATTGTTCAACCTCATAGAGATGTCCCGCCACTTAGCCTATCACGTATAATGTGTTGGAGCGCCAGCCAATTGAAGTGCGAGTGTTACATTGTGATATCATGATACAGAAGTAAACAAAGGAGTCCAATGGAGGCGTTCTGACACGGGGGGGTG